CCGGCGGGGAGGCCGGGGCGGCAGTGACAGGCGCAGGCGGCGGCGGGGACCCCCAGCATCATCCGCGATGCCGCTGGTGCGCGAGGCCCCCGGTGCCCGACACCCCCGGTGCGCGAGGCTCATGGTGCCCGATGCCCCTCGCGCCGGCCGGGGCGCCCGGGGCGGGGGAGGGGGCGCCTGGCAGGAGGGGCGGGGGCGCTTTTTCCCGTTTGCCGCGGCCCCCGAGTGCCCTGCACGCCTCGCGGTGGGAGCGGGGTGCCGGGTCCCGGGATGCGGGGCCGCCCCCTCTCCGGACGGCCCGCGCAGCCCACGGGCCCCGGCTTTGCGTAGATTTGCGGGTGTCCAGCCTCCTGGCGTTGGCGAGAACTGCGCGCCGACCACGTAGGCGATTCAGGAATCGGACCGGAGCGCAGGCTGAGCTGTGCTGGGTGGCTTTTTTTTTTAATTCTTCAAGATGGCGAACTGCCATTGATTTCTCTTTTCATCCTATGGAGACTCATCGATACCCCGTTATCCCTAGTTACGCAACTGGGCTCTGGCCGGGGCGGTGGCGGGGTTCGGCCCCGAAGGGGCCGGGGACTCGGGTGTCCCTTCCGAGTGCCGGTTCGGACAGGCCGGTGCACATTGATGCGCCGATGCCCGGCACCGGGTGGCTCGGACTTGGCGGCCACATGTGTGCGGGGAGTGCTGGTCAGTAATCCTCCAAAAGCTGCTTATTGTGCTTGTTGCTTTCCCAGGGCTCTTGCTGGAATTGTGACTATTGTGTAGAAAAGCGAGCCCCATCTCTTTCATTTCTTAGATGCTTTTCCCCTCCTCCCCGCACCAGAATTCGGGTCCTCTGAATAACGGGAGCCACCGATTTCCTTCTTTCCTGCCCAGCAGAGCTTAAGATGGTATTGTGTGGGACCCGGCGTTTGACAGTAGTTCTTGCAGGTCTCCTGCAGCCATGGGGACTACCATTGTGACAGGGAATTGGCAGCGGGTGACAACTTTCCCCGCAGTGCTCTGCCTTTGTGTGCGTGCCCGCTGTGTGGCGGGGAAGCTGCGGGAGAGCTGGAAATGGCTGTGCCTGCGATGACTCTGCAGTTCTGGCGGGGAGACGCCGCCTTCTAATCCACAGAATGGTAGCCGGCACACTTGGCCTTCCCGGGTTTGGGGGGGTGCTACCCCAGTTTCTTTCTCATTCTCCCCCATTCTCTCTTCTCTGCCATTGCTGACTGCAGAGCTGCAGACATAATCCTCTTTGCCTATGCTGGAAAACTGATTACTGAAGTGGGAAGGCAGTGAAAAAAGGGCAGTGGTTAGAAAGCGAGGAAAGAGGGAAATATGAATTTGGAAATGCCCCGAGGTCAGGTGAGCTCTTACCAGGAATATTTTAAGGTTTTCAACACAGAAAAGTGAACAGATGTGTTAAAGCCTGGACTTATTTGGGGAGAACTTTAGGCATCTTTTAAGTTTGATGCAACATGACAATGATATGACTGAAAATTATAGACTGTCAAGAGTTTATGGCTGAATATTTGTTATTAGATAAGCACCTCCAGGCACCACCACGTCACTTGATATAGTTTATAAATAGTTCTTAAATTTGCAGTTTGTTGTGTGTCAGTTGTCAACTATTGAGAGATTTTCTTTGTATAGACTGGACTTTGGTTAGCAGAGTGCTGTTAACAGTGAAGTCTGAATTAACTCATAAAATATCTAGCCAAGTAGGTTTAAATAATCTTTTAGAAAAGACTAAGTATTAGTTGCGTTATTGTAACATTATGATTTTACACTAGTGAAATGTAGATGTCTCATAGTGACTATAAATTTGGCAGGTAAACTTTAACATTTATATATATAAACAGGCCCAAAAGAAACCATGGTTTCATGTGTTTTGTTTTTCCTTTTTTTGGGGACAGCCAATAGAAATAGATATGATTGTAGGAAAAGATCGGGAAGGTTTCTTTACCAACGGCTTGACCCTTGGCGCGAAGAAGTGCTCAGTGATCAGAGATAGTCTCTACGTTGATGGTGACTGCACAATGGACATCCGGACAAAGAGTCAAGGTGGAGAGCCAACATACAACGTTGCTGTCGGCAGAGCTGGTAGAGGTAAGCGAGGAATCCTCTTGGTTTAAAACTGCATGCCATGTTACAGCCTAGGGAGCAATTCCTTTTAACATTTGTATAAAGGTGTTATTCCATAATGGCTATTAAAGTGGTTTTTGTGAACTGCCCAGCACTGGAGAAAATCAGTGTTATAAGATTTATTCACATCAAGCTTAGAATTTTAGATCCTATTAAGTATTCATAAAAAGAAATTCATAGCATGTCTTCATTTTCAACTTTGGTAAACTTAAAATCTAAATTTGCCTCTTAAATTACTTGACATGTCAAAATATCTGTGCTGTCTGCATATTGTTAAATTGTTCAAAGTAAATCTTTGGACTTCGGATCATGTCTTTCTTTGCTTGCATTTGAATCATTTCACTCAGCATAAAGGGGGGGTAAATACCTGTTTATTTTTCTTTTTGGAACCCAGCTGAAAAGAGAAAAATAAAGTGAGGAATTTTCCATTTACTAAAGTATATCATTAGTCACTTGAAATATTTTCGATGACAAAATGTGTCAGATTTACTTGTTCCAAAATTCTCCCCACTCTGGTGTCTCCTGACTGTTGTAGTCAACAGTTGTAGAAATTTTCCATTATAGTTTCCAATAGAAATTTTCTAGAAAAGAAAGTTTCTATTTTGAACATAATAATATATTAACCTGTATAAATTTTCTGACTAAAAAGGTCTTTCATCCTTTCCTTTCGCATGTAGGGTATATTTAGCATATGAAGTGACTTGAAGCTGCTCTGAGCTGTGGCTTCTTACCTTTGTTTAACCAGTTCTCTGAGTTTATGCTTACAAGTGTTTCTCTGTGACAAAATTAGATGATTTTGAAATAGACAAATCTCTAAATCATTAGATGATTAGATTGCTTGAGAAGGAAGCATCAACCTTATGACAAACCAGAACACGGTGTTTGTGCAACACCACTGACATCTAGTGGCACATATTTTAAGGATAGTCTGATGCATTTTGCATCCGAGAACCTGTTAGAAATCTTTCAGCATTTTAGAACTTGATTAAAAGCAAAGCACAGTGAAGAGACAGGAAAGTACAGGTCTTTAAATACTTTTGATACTTACTTAATGGCACTGAGAATGAGATTTGGGGTTTAGTCTGGATTTTCCATTGCAAGTAATAGACACAGCCTTACTGATACCAGATTAAGTGATTGCTCAAGCCAGTTAAGTTTGCGGAGAATTTGGCAAATAAATAATTAATCTAAAAAATTTCATGTTTTGGTATCTAGTATTTTTAACATCAAAGATAATTTTTTTTTCTTTGATCTGGAAGATGAATGCTCAGGCATTGTCTTTTTCCCAGCAAATATAAAGGTGGCCGTGTAGGACTCAGCAGCTGCGTTTGCTGGGCTTTCAGAATGCAGTCAGTAGTTCTAACTTAATATATTCTTAGTTTAAGAGTTCAGTTGGGGTTGCTGATTTCAGTGCTTGACAGTTCATGGAAAACTATCTTAATTTATTAATTGGGGTTCTGTCTGCTAAAACTATGTGACTTTCTGCATTAACACTTCTTTTTTAAACACTTTTCTTCTTTCTCTTTCAGTCTTGGTCTTTGTAATGGGAAAAGAAGGGGTCCATGGAGGCGGATTGAATAAGAAGGCATACTCAATGGCAAAATACTTGAGAGACTCTGGGTTCTAGCTGCTAGGCAGACTGTTAAGTATTAGGGGAAAATTGCTCTTAAACTTTCCTAGCTGTAAGCTTGAGTCTTAATTCTGGAAATTTTATTAGCAATGCAGGGTGATGGGGTATGAACCTGTGTCTCCTTTGTATCCCTCTGTTGGTGGGGAAAGGTGTCTTTCTTTCTGCCCTCCCCCCCTTAAATAATTCTGTTCACTTTTGTTTTGTTTCCTTGTGTACTCCAGCATTGGTTATAGTCATGGGAAAGGAAGGTGTCCACGGAGGCACACTTAACAAGAAAGCATATGAACTCGCTTTATACCTGAGGAGGTCTGATGTGTAAGCAGCCTCTCCCCATCTGCCTAGCAACTGTCTTCATCACCACCCCAGTTACGGTCACAGTGCTACCAGACTATAGATGGTAGCTGGTCTTTCGTTACCTATTTTCTAATGTCACAATTCCTGTATGTCCAATGGATCATTTGTATGTTAACCATTGTATGTAACCAAACTTTATCTGGCAAAATAATTGCAGCACAATAATGATTTGCATGATACCTTGAAATTTGGGGGGAGGGGGCATGCCAAGTTGGGCATCACTTTGTCTTAGCAATTAATGAGATACTGATTACTAAAAAATAAGGTAATATTAAGCAAGGTGCCGGTTGTACAATCTCTGATTTGATCAATGTCTTTTCAGCACTTTTGAGCATTTACTTGGCTCATTTCAGTCTTCCTTTTGTTGCGCATGGTTGGGAGGAAAACATGCATGCATCTTTCCTTCACTACTCTCTTCTCATCTCTCCTGTCGCACACAAAGTACATTTGGGTTGCTTCCATCTTAATGCAGTGCCTGGTTTATTGAACCAATTAAAAGCCCTTTTGTTGAGAGTTGGAGTAGTTTGTTTTCAGTGTGGTTGCACTTGAAACCACAGTCGTTGCCTCACTTGGTACCTCTAGGACATACTAAGAGTGCAACTACAGAACCCAGAGCAAAGGCACTTCCTCCCGTGACCTCACAGTAACCACGCTGATTGATCCCCAGGGACATTCCATCACAATAGCTCAAATTTTTATTCCTGTCTTTTCTTTGCACACCAGCTCTACTCTTTAGTAAAATTGTGAAAGGCTGCCATTACGGACATTAGGTATCCCCAGTAACCGTCTGGAGTGTGTCCAGTTTGTTCTTCATAGGACCAATTTTTATTTGCAGCTTGAGTTTTTCTATGAAGTTGCATTATTGTGGACTTGGCTGTCTTGTGATGAATTTTTTCATATGTATTCCGTGCCATACTATTGTTAAAATGAACTGTTGCTATTGTGAGATGGACTTTAACTGACCTATTAAGGATTTCTTTGGAATGGCACTACTTTAGGGACATTCTAGTATTTGCTTCTATTGTTTGGGCCTTGTGGATAATGTACAGATTTAAAAACAAATCTTGTTGCTGATTTGTCCATTTCTTTCCCTGCACTTTGTTACATCTGGGATACAGTCTAACTCATCTGATTTAATATGCATTTAAAAAAATGCCATAACTATTAAACACCTTGTTTACAGACAGATGAAATAAATTTATTCCAACCAAATAATCTAGACTCTTGTTGTTTATGTAATTGTTAGCTAACATAGTAAATTTTTGACACTGAGGACATAGAATAGGTTCAAATATGCAGCAAACATAAGAACATAAAAATTAGCTGATGTCATATTTAATGTTAAGCAGAATTTATATGACTTTTCAATGGGCTCTCATCTGTGAAAAATTACTTTGTCATTTACTATTTTCCTTTGTCTGCTGGTATGTGCAATATATATTTGAGTGAATCTGGGCCCCGGTCTTACGAACATTTCTACACTACTTTCGGTCCTTCTGTGTTGAAGTAAATTCTAAACTAGGACTCTTCTTGTAAGAATAGAACATTAACAGCATATAAGCCTACCTTTCAAATGAAGGCCTTTATGGAGAGATTTATTCACAATGGCAATGTATTAGTCCAGTTTAATCTGAGAAGGACTGATGTTAGTTAATAGAAACATTTAACTCTGTGTTATCATGAATTGTTAAACAAGCTCCTAACAGAGTAAGTCTTAAGTAAAACTGGCAAGGTTGTTAGAATTCTCTGGGCTCAGGGGTTCCCCACAGCTGGAGAGTCTATAGGCTCAGCAAGTAAATAAGCCAGCTGACTGATTTCAAGGTTCCCGCGAGCCACCTTTTTACAGAAACAGTGATTCGCTGACCCTTCAGCAAGTTTTCAAAACTCCTTGCCTTTGGGTTAGCACAGTTCCTTAACCATTAGATTACCAGTTACCTGACTCAAATATACTTAAAAATATACGTCTGTTTTGCCATCGAGTCAGAATTGGCTAGCTGACCCTCCAGTGGGTTTTCAGAGGCAGGTGACTGAACAGGAGGAGATTGCTCATCCTCCTTCCGCAGAGCAGCTGAGTATATTGTATTTCCTTTGACACTGTCATCAGTTATTGGGCAAGTCAGCTGTCAAGGGCCTCTCCAGCATACTAAAGAGCATTGATGTTGGTCTGGAGACTAAGGTGTGCCTGAGCCAGGCCATAGACTTCTCAGTTACTTGCTATACATCAGCAAGCTGGACAGTGACTAGGGATGAAAGAATTGAAACCTTTGTGCTGTAGTGCTGGAGAAGAGTATTGAATATACCATGAATTGCCAGGAGAACAACCAGGTTTGTCCTGGAAAGGGTGAGACGAGGCTGCTCCTTGGAGCTTCCTTCTGAAGCTTTGTCTGACATACTTTGGGTACATCATGCTTGGAAGAGTGGAGGGGCAGAGCAAGAGAGGAAGACCCTTGATGAGATGGATTGACTGTGTCAGAGACAGTAAGGTTGGCACAGGACAACAGGTTTTAAGGCTGTATATAGGGTCACTATGAGTCACAAGTGACTCGATGGCACATACCAACAGCAACACATACAAAAAGTGTGCAAAAGAAGGATTTGAAGTGATTTTGGTAATGGAGCAAACCCTAGAAACAACATAGACCAGAACAACAGGGCATCAGTTGTTGAAACCTGTTAAAATTTCTAACGAACAATATGTTGCAAATGAAAATTGTTGAGTTGTGATTTGAGATTATATAGTAATATATTTTAGTTGTGAAGATATACTACTAGGGTGAATTACTGAAAATAGTAACCAAAATTGTGAAACCCTTGCTGAAAGGCACTTAGTGGGCAGCTGCATTACTCAAAAGGTTACCAGAGGAAGACACCAGCTCCCTCCCCTTGAGTTAAATTAACAAAAAATTATAAAATTAACATATACTTTGCTTTTTTCTTAATCCCTTGATTTAGCATAAGGAAACTGAGCAACATAACTTTATAAATAGACAGCTTATTACACAACATTACTTCTAATAACCAAAACTGGAAAACTTAACAAAATTCTGAGTTAAATAAATGCTTCCACTGAATGTTAAGTATATAAACCTAACTTTACATACAGTGTCAAATACATACATACAATGGTTCTAAAATCTCAAAAGGCTGTATATTGTGATGATAAACTTCATGTCTGCATAAATTTCCAGGTTATCTTGATATTCATTATAATGGGAAAAATTGGTATTTTTGAAAGGAAATTGAATTTTAATTAATGTCCTATTAAAAGAGCTGTGTAGTTAACACCATCATGTAAACCATACCCACTTGCCATTGAACTGTGACTCACAACAGCCTTGTAACAGTTCCTCAGGAAGATGTGGTGGTCCCACAGGGTTTGAAAGGATGCAAATCTTTATGGAAGTAGACCACCACATCTTCCTGAGGAACTGTTGCTGGGTTTGAACCAGCAGCTCAGTTCCTTACAGTGCTACCAGAGGCAATGACAAAGTAGTATTAATGTAATATAAAATGTATTAATACAAAATAAAAGAACTGGTTTGTAATTTTTTTAAAAAGTAGCTTGATCTAAACAATGGATTAAGACCTGAGTACCAACATTTAATACCTGGTTACTCCTACCTCAGCTTGTACATTATTTCTAATGCTTTTACTATTTTAATTATTGTAAAAGTGACTGCTTATTCTGTATGTATGTGTCAGGTTAAATGAAAATTATGGAGACTGCCTTATAGGATTAAGAAGGCTAGGGCCTTACTCTCTTAACTTCCATGGAAAAGTTGGATCCTTAAAAGATTTTGTTAAAAGAGTGTTAATCAGACAATAGATGTTCCATTTAAAAAACCATTCAGAAAGTGAAATTTCTAATCCTTTATTTTTAAATATATTACTTTTTTATTACAAAAGACCCATAAATCTCTAGTGTAATTATTTTCTAACGTAACTCTTGTTAACAGTTTCCATGTCAATACAGATATGTCTATCCTTTATACTGTAAAGATGGACCATGGTTTTCAGCAGGGTACTACAATATACATACATTCTGTTGTTAGAATAATTCTGGTTGCCGTTCTAACTTTCTTAGGGTTTACCTAATTGCTTGTGAGCAATTGTATGAAATTGTGAGAAATTCTAAGATGACATGTACTTATCAGACCTCAGTGATAGAACACTGTGCATATTAATAAGGCTAATGTGGTAAGTAAATATTACAACAGAACAAACATTTGCTGGATCTTAAAGTGGAAAACATGTTTATTAACATTCAAACTCCCCTTACAAGGCCATATAAAAATTCCTAGCATTCTGATTATATTTTCTACATAGTTAGAATAATAGAGCTTTTCATAATACATTGTTAAAATACATCATTAACTTTGTTAAACATAAGCACTTATTTTCAAATCCAATACTGGAACAGTTTCCTCTGTACATAGTTAGCAAGGCTAATTTTAGCATTAAGATGCTCTTCATTAAGAGGTATATAATCTTACTGTGAACAGCTGCTGAAATTTTTCCTTTTTGCTTTGATCTTAATCATAATAAAACCAAAAGGAGGACAGTGAAATCAGTAAGCAAAGTCGAGATGTTGCTTCATTTGCTGAACCAAATATAAACACTTGAGTATTAAAAACCTTTCCAATTTTTTCTGTCTGCACTAGTACAGACAACTTATGTCAGCATAGGGACTGACTATTCCCATTAGGGACTGACTACTCAAAAATGACAAGAAAAAGGATAGCTTTGAGTATCTCTTTGTAGGGCTGATATAAAATAGTAAATTATCTTGCTGCCTCTCAATAAAGGCAATTTGGAGAAATACCAGAATGGACATTTGCATTTCAGCAAGTCTGGATAACTATGAACGTGGGAGGTGGCTTAGCTCTTCATGCTAGGTAGCAGCAGCATTGACCATTTGTGTCAAACACCTGTAGACTGATCTAGGTCTTAAGCCATTTTTTCTTTAATATTTGGCACCTTTCTATAAGTGAGATGAAGTGCACTCCTACAGATAAATACTGGATCAAAAAGCTGGTTCCTGTCATTTAGTAAAACTTTAGAATAATGAAGAAAAAAAAAAAGTCATTTCTACAGAAATCTGAGAAGGAAGCAGGAAAAAAAATTTTATAAACGCAAAGAAAAACCAATTACCCTCCAGAAGTTAAACCGTATTTGCTATGTTGTAATCCTGTCCACCATTAGGTTGCAGTTGGACCACGACATTATGTTCATTAATTTCATTTTCTGCGTCACTACTGTCGGTATCTTCATTGTCATCTTCATAGTCTGATGATTCTGTCATATTCTGATGTAAGTGAGATTCTGACAAAGCCCCAAATGACTGTGTACTGACAGAAGCCAAGGGTCTAAGTAAAGGGGTATGTTCTGACACTTCATTGTCTTCTTGACTACTATCTGTGTCAGAGTCTGAATCGCCTTGAGAAGGAACAACTTTTTGTTTGCAGACTGGACAAGTTTTTTTTGTTTTAGTTAGCCAAGGGTCTACACACTTGGAGTGATAAGCTGTTGAAACAATATAAACATCTTTTAGTTAAAATCTGTGATTTGAGAACATTATTATTTAATCCCTTGCCATGTTTATTTACTATCATAAATAGGATGGCACAGAATAGAACAGGGTTCAGATTGTTTGCTCATAGGGCTTCTATGAGTCTTACTAGACTTGATGGTGCCTAGCAATCTATGTGGAGAAGAAAGTTTATAAATTTTCACAAATACCCATCCTTTAATGAGATCCCCAGTTAGTGCAGGGCCTGGCTTATAATGTCTCTTTCCCTCTAATTATGTATTTTAACTTTACACATAAAATAAATTTAAACTAGTGTTTTAATTACTCATACCATGGGAACAGGGAAGGATTCTGAGCTTGTCTCCGTCTTCATATTCATCCAAACAAATGGCACATACATCATACTCATCTCCTATATAACAAAGAAAAATGAAAAGATGTCACACACTTGTTCATTAGGCCTCTGTCAGTTATTTTAAATACCTTCTGATTTACTCTTCTGTTAGATCCAGGGAACTACTTAGCAGTAGAAAGACTCCAATTTTTCACTTAAAAACAGGCATTTAAGAGTTGATGTCACATTAATCTAACTTAATGTTTCCCAGTTTTTTCTAGAACGAATTTCCACTAACTCTTCAAATGGTAGTTTTGAAGTATGTTATGCCAAAGGAGAAAACTGTTC